CCCCCCCACTGCCAGCCATGATGATATTATTGTTGTTATTACTTGTTCTTGGGGTTTTCTTGGCAAAATCTCCACAGGGATTTGCCATGGCTTTTTTGGGGCTGAGAGAGTGTGCATGCATATTTTTTTAATTTTTTAATTTTAATTTTTCTAAATTTTTATTATTTATTTATTTATTTATTTGTGGTGCTTCGGCCCCCCAATTGTCTGAGGAAGAGCAACCCGGCCCCTGGCTCAAAAAGGTTGCCTACCCCTGGTGTAGAGTGTCCATCTAAAGGCCCATTTGTGAAGCAGGAGGTTGAATCTGGTGGGAGTGATAATTAACATAATCAATAAAGATCATCCAGTCTTTGACTCAGGATTTTTTGGTCAATTTTTGACCTAAATTTCTAGACTTATACATGAGTATATACAGTATTTGTTATTTGTCAAACAGTTGACAATTTTTTTTTTCAGATTCAGTTTCCTCTTTGAAAATATGATTATGAAGAAAAGGAAAAGGCACTGAAAACCTGGGTTAGGGTCCATAAGTGTGGTTATGCTCAAAGAATGCTCCTCTAGGGAGTTTGGAGATGTTTTTCCTGCTTGCTCCCTTTCTCCAGTGCCCCCCTGCGAAGCTTCTCCAGATGATTTGGGGCCTTCTGAAAGGGCAAGTGAGGTAGTGCTATGAGTGTGGAGGTTAAAAATACATTCTTCTGCAGAAGTTTCCACTGGTAGCAGAAGTAGCATTTCCATTTGCTAAAATCTTATTTCAAGCCATAATTTATGGATACCATCATTTCAGCTTGGCATAGATCTTCATTTGTGTGCTGTAAACTGGTAAAACATGACTGCCATCTGTATGGTGTAGAAATTTATCAATGAATACACATGAACTGAAACCATTTTCCTTTACTTTATCTCCTGCTCACACACTGGGATTAAATCTATGCACATTCATGGCACTGTGTGCTCCCTTGGTTCATTCTTCCTTTACTATTTTCAAATTTCTCAGTTTGCTGTTATGATTCCTATTGACACTTTCTTGTATCAAGAGATGATCTGCCAGTTAATATAATGTTCTGAAAAGATTGGGATCTTGTTTGTTACTTGGAGCTTGTTTAGCAAGGTGAAATTTCTTGTTTCTTCACTCTTCCCTTCAAGCTGCAGCTGTGTAGTAGCATTCAAGAAAATAGGTGTAGATATGTATTTAGGAATAAAAATAAAAAGGAATTGATTCACAGAAAAAATAATTTGAAAATTGTTCACTGAATGTCTGGTTGGTTGCTGTTTTGTTTTACTTTATTTCTTTCCAGTTTTTGAAAAACTTGATTAAATTTGAAGTTTTCCTCTTTATTTTTTAGTGCTCCTGTTTTATAAGTTAGGCATGCTAACAAATTGTTTGAATTTCTGGAAAATTTGGAGCTCTTTTGCGTGACTCTAGCTAAGGTAATATTTAGGGTCAGCAGGTGGACAATATTAACCAACAAAGGGGTCATTCAGCCTTTTTTTAACCTCACTTATGCATTCCAGGTTTGTTATTCACACTGTGGAACCACGTGGAACATGCATCTCTGCATGTTCAGTTGCTCACATGTGCTGACACCCTTCCATTGTCCCTTCACCCACCAGTACTGCACAGCCAGGCAGAGTCTCCTTCTCCTCTCAGAGTCAGAATTCTTTTTTCTTTCCCCACTTTATTCACTGTGGCACTTTCTCCACTGTGGGGCTGTCAGCAGTGCAAGTGTATTTGGAAATGCATTCAAGGAATGCAGTTAATTAATGGGTCTATTTGCCTCAGTTATTCACACTGCCAATGATGCAAATCTTTTTTTAAAACTTGGAAAATACCCCAATATCAATTATCCATGGGTAAATGGGGTTTTTTTGGCAGCAGCCTGACTTAGGGCATTTACAGACTGCCAGAAATAGTGCAAATTGAGGCCACTTTAACTGTACTGGCTCAGTGCTAAGGAATCTGGGAACTGTAGTTTATTATAGCACCAGAGCTCTCTGGCAGAGAAGGCTCAATGTTCCAGAAAAAATACAATTCCCATGATTCCCTAGCACTGAGCCAAGACAGTTAAAGTGGCCTGAATTTGCACTATTTCTGGAAGTCTGTAAAGGCCCTTTATAAGTTGCATTTGGGATGCATGTGAACAACAGAGATTCAACCGGGATTCATCCGGGATTATTTTCACCATCTGAATAACTCCTAAATTTCCCTGTCAGGGAAACATCCTCTTCATAGCTTTTAATATTAAGCCACTCTGTTTTTACTTCATTATTTTTTTTTTTATGTTATGTTATTCTGATCCATGATGGTTTGTGGCATTGTGTTCAGTATTCAACCTGCAACAGGCAGTAGTTGCCAACACTGCAGCAGTGTTAGGTAGTTGAGACCTGATAGTAGTTATGTGGAATTCTGTTTGAATCAATGAGATTTACTGGCTTAAAGTAAAGATTTGTTTGAACTTCAGACAGTGATGCATAAATACAGGATTTTGTCTGTATGCCTACATGTAAGGCGATGAGTGTCTATTTGTGTTTCTTACTATTTTGTTCTACCAGGTCAGGACAGTTATACCAAAACATTACCAAAATATAAAACAGTCCATTAAACTGGGGTGGGCAAAGTGCAGCCTGGGAGTTGCATGTGGTCCACCATACCCAAATATGCAGCCCCATGTCTCTGGAGCCACACCCTACAAAGAGGAAAGATGCACCCCCCCCCCCAGTACTTTAAGTAGCAAATAACATTGACACACCCTGGCATGGACAAGCCTTAGCAAACACTCTCACCTCCCTCCTTCCATCTGCCTCACCCACTCCAATCCCAGTTTAGAATCTCATCCTTTGCTTGGAAAAAGCTCCTACCCCCTCCTTGTGTCCTGTCGCTCACTCAACTGCCAGCTTAAAATCTCATTATTTGCTTACAAATGCTCCCACCTCCTCCTTGCACCCCCCTCCCTTATTCCAGTCCCAGTTTAAAATTTCATTCCTTGCCTGCAGACACTCACGCCTCCTTTCATCCCTCTCCATCACACACTCCAGTCTTGGCTTAAAATCTTATCCCTCACCTGCAGATCCTCACCCTTCCATCACCCCATTCCAGTCCCATCTTAAAATCTCAAAATTAAAAAAGGTGGAGCCCCTTCACCTATTCCCAGATGTCCAAATGTGGCCCCCTGCCCCTTCATAGTCACCCACTCCTGCTTTAAACTGACTCTGGCAAATTGCTGCCTGCAGAAAAACTAACATTTTTAAAAAAGTATTAATTTTGCTTTTCTTGTCTTACCTTCTTAACATTAAAAAACTTTATAAAGGGGTATGTTACCTATGGTCTAAAACACGCTGCAGGAATAATCCAGTTCGAGACCACATTAACTGTCCTGGCTCAGTACTTGATAGTCCTGGGAATTGTAGTTTATTGTGGCATCAGAGCTCTTGACAGAGAAGGCTCAATGTCTCAAAAAAACCTACAGCTCCCAGAATTCCCCAGAATTGAGCTGGGGCAGTTAAAGCAGTCTCAAACTGGATTATTTCTACAGTATGTTTTGGACCTAAAACAAAATAAGAGAACACTTACTGTTTTCCTTAGAATCAAGCAACTAATATACTTTCCCCTGGCACCTGCTCTACTAGACCAGTGCCTCCTAAGCTGTCTGATATGTGCCCGGGGCCAATACCACATTTGTGCCCATGAACTATAATTCTTTCATTCATTCCTGGAAGCTCTTGAGTGACCTGTAGCAAATGACTTAGGGACCATCACTGGAGCTCTAGTCTAGACACTGAAGTTTTTTAATGCAGGTATAGCACTTTATATTTACATGGAGCAAACAGTTGGAAAAGTAGAAAGGTGTTGATTTTAAAAAAAATACTACTTTTTAAAAAAATTACTATCCTAGTGTGGTTTGTTTTCCCCATGACTTGGTTATGCCAGACATTACATAGACACTAAAGATCATAGGATCCTCCTTTTAACTATATATGAGTGAACCAGCCCCTTAAAAGTATAAGGTCCTTCATGGAAATCCACCTCTATTTTATGTTAATCAGACATGCAAGCTGTTAAAGAGTAACCTACTAACCTTTTTGAGTTAACCCTTGTATAAATATCTAATCATTGTACAAATCTGAAACAACATAATAATGTAGTTATATAATGCTTCCTTCAATTAAATGCACAACGTTATCACATGGCCAGATGGAATCAGTCTCCAGTACCAATGTCGTGATAATACAATATAGTATAATATAATAATAGAAGTTATTCTTGACACCATTAAGTAATATCAATAAAATTTCTTTTTCAAACTCTTATGAAGCTTTTGATTGGGATAAATGGGTATGCAATTACTCACAACCTTGATGTGTGTTTTTTTTAACTTAAAAGAACTTGAAAATGACATTCAGTATAAGTAATTATAGAGTACTGCAGAGTTCTTGCATGTATTTACTGGCCTTGCTCTCAGATAATTAAATAGTTTGCAAAAATCTGTGTACGCAGTAATTATTGTAGAGGTGTCAGCTATTAAAGCAACACATGTTATTGCTGCATGTGTTGAGTCGCTAGGCAAAGTTGATTTTCCCAACAGCCAATTCTGGTTCAGGATGGCTGTAAAGAAGGGGTTGCTGTGGAAGGAGTGACTATAAAAGGGGAGAAGTGAATCATAGTGAGGTGAGAGTTTAAGAATCAGTTCAGAGCTGTTCTGTTCTGAGAGTTATCCGTTAGGATTTAGGTGGAGTCCATAGTTCTGTTAAAGGGGAAGCAGTTTAGAAGTACACTCATCCCTTCACATTCATTGGGGTTAGGGGCACAGGACACTTGTGAATGTGGAAAAACCTCTAATAACAAAAACACTATGTTTTTAGCAATAGCAATACAAGCTTCATTTATATATACCACTTCATACCAAGCAATCTCTAAACGGTTTACAACTGTAAGCTAATTGCCCCCAACAAGCTGGGTAATCATTTTAACAACCTCAGAAGGATGCAAGGCTGAGTTGACCCTGAGCCCCTGGCTGGGATTGAACTCACAACCTTGCAACTGTGGCTGCAGTACAAGGATTTAACCACTTCACCACCAGGGCTCATTACCTGAGAGAACACCTCTCTAGGAACCTCTAGGTCCTCTAGTGCAACTCTGTGGTCAACATCTGCCAGACATTGACCATAGAATTGCCCTGGAGCACCTACAAATGCCTAGTGGAGTGTTCTCTCTAGGAATCTCCAGGTCCTTCAGTGTGACTTTTGGTGAAAGTTGATCATAGAGTTGCACTGGAGGACCTAGAAATTCCTAGAGAGAACATATTAATAAAATCCATGAATAATCAAATCCGCAAAAGTCAAAACCACAAATGTGGAAGGACGATTGTATAAGAGAATAGGTTTAAAGGAAACAAGAAACAGTTTACTTTTGAAAGAGTTCAGTGAGGGAACTGAATAAGGAATAACTTGTATCTATTCAAGTACTGTGACTACTGTAACCATACGATCTGTGAAACATTATTGAAAAGATACAGTCTTCACACATGATTGTAAATAAAGTTAGTTTGTTTTGTTTCCAGAAAGAGTATTGGCCTGAGTGAATTTATAATTCTAACTTCAGAGACAACACACTACCAAAGATAAAACACATAGAAGAGGAGGACTCTGGGGACCCCAATCCTAATTTATTTAAAGGAGAGTGTATTAAGGGTAGAAGTGGGGCATGTGTCAAGGATCAAGGGGGTCTTCGGATGTTTATGAAGTGAAAAGACAGCCTCAAAACATTGAGGGGAAGACTCCCTTGGTCACACCGCATTTACTGGCATGCTTGGCAATAGATGTAGTTGATTCTTATTGAGGGGGAATTTGTGGGGTGTTCAGTTAACTCTTAAAGTTTTGAAAACATCTCAGCATTTAAACTACCTGTAATTCAAAGTTCACTGGTTTTTAAAAGGTCAATTTTTACTTCAGGCTAAAACAAACTTTAAAAATAGAGTAAATTGAATCACCATGCTAAGTGGATTGAAAGTTGATCATAGAATTGTGTTAAATAATGGTCGTTTAAATTCCTCAAGAAGGGGAGATTGTGATTAAATTACTGATATAATTACATTTGCTACTTTCTAGTTAATATAGTTCCTGTAAAGACATACTTGCTAACCAGTGTAAGTAAAACATATTTGTTTGCACTAAATAGTCAATAACACTACCTAGGACATCCCTTTATATCTATGTAGAGACAGACAAACAGCTCTGAAGTGAAGGATTTCTGTTGGGACTTCTGTAAATATGCAAAGAGAGCAAGGGAGAATTCTACCTTAAAAAAAGTAGATGCATAGCACTTTGCAAAAGCAAAGTCATCAGAGGAAATGAAGGAGCCCTTTAAGGCAGCTGCTGTGACCGAAAGCTGACGCACTGAACTGAATTACTGGAAGGATGCTGGCAAGAAGAGCAGCTGGTACCTACTTGAGTCATATCTGAGGCTGACAGTTACTGAACAAAATTGTTTTTCTGCTTGAGATGGAGATTCTCACAATTTGAGGTCCGTGGTTTTGAATATTCACGGAGGAGCAACCTCCGTTAAAATAAATGGGGTGCCCCCCCATGGGAGCATGCCCCATTCAAACCTATGGGGCTTGAATATCCGTTTTTGCGAGAGGGTCTGGAAAGGATCCCCTGTGAAAAAGGAGGACCAACTGTACATCAATATAGGGCTAAATCAGAAAAGTAAGTAGCAAAATGCAATCCAGATGCTGTTGCCACTAGCCTAAATAATAATTGTTCTTTGGAAAGTTCTCATTTAAAGCAAGTTGTTTTGTTGAACTTAGTTTAATTGAACGATTTGTTTCTGAATGACATTTATTGCACTATAAAAAAGTGATTAAAAGAATTAGCTGATACAAGATACTGGTCTAACGATGAACAACTGCCAATAAGCTTTTAAAAGTAAAATGTTTAAATTCAAACAGTCATTGTTGTTTCAGTGAGAGGGTTGGAAAATAGTAATAATAGCCAGACTTTTTTTTTTAAATAAAATTAATACTTTATTTTTAAAAAGGAATGTGTTTTTTTAAAAAATGCATTTGGTCTTAACCAAGGTTTAAGCAGTGGTTTAAACCAATCTGGTTCAAATCAGACAGCCCTGGTTGGGAACCTTTAGGAAAGCAGTACTGAGGACTGCAGAGGAAATGAAAATTGATGAATAACTCTTCCCATTTCTACTAGCAACAGAATTTTCCTTGGGACACTGCCTCACTGAAATGTGCTGTATCCAACCCATTGTATGCATAGCCAGTAGTATCATTATTTGTAATTTTTTAGATGGGAAGCTTTTGCCTTAGTTTATTTAAATAGGGGAGCTATATAATGTCTTCAGTGGCCTACTACATGTAGTATTCAGAGTGCATGTGAAGGGTTGTAATCTTCTTTTCCAGCAACAGACTCAAAAAGGCTTCTCTTCACTTGTCAGGGTCACAGGGCGTACGAGACTCCTGGGCCTCTGCCCTTTGTGTGAAGCCCATTGAAGGCTGGATTCTGGTTAACGCAATTTTCAGACTCCGTTTTGAGATTTATTTTGTTTAGTGAAAGTAACATTTGGGTAACAGTATTTTAAAGGTTAAACTCTAATCTAAATTTGATTTTCATGTTTTTATCCATCCTGGCTACATGATTATATGCTGATGCAAGACTGATGACAGAGATAATGTATTACCTTATTTTCTGGCGTATAAGACTACTTTTTAACCTGCAAAATCTGGGGTTAAAGTGGGGGGGTTGTCTTATACACCGGGTATAAGGAGGTTCATGATAGGTTTGCCTTAGTGTCATCATCAGTTGGAAATGACTTAAAGGTGCACAGCAACAACAACAACAGTTTTGGAAGTCATACTCTTCCCAAACTCTATATTTTAACTGGAAAAGTGGGGGGTCATCTTATATGCCGGAAAATACGGTAATATTTTGTATGTAGTACTTAATTTGGAATTATGGCTACTTTCTTTTAACACGCCTGTGTTTTTTCAGTCCATGCAGTGACACTGTTTCTTAACATCTTTGGATGTCTGGCCTGGTTCTGCCTTGATCCTAAGCGAGGAGTTGATTTTGGATTGAGTATTCTCTGGTTCTTGCTTTTTACTCCTTGTTCATTTGTCTGCTGGTACAGACCACTTTATGGAGCCTTCAGGTAACTAACTATCTCCAGTCGTGTGGAATCAATGTTACTAAAGTACAGAAATTAACTATTTTAAAATCTGTAATAACTTGGAATACTTTTTAGTATTTCATAACTTTTAATGTGGTTTCTTGACAAAAATATATGCATTAGCTTCTTGCAAATGTATACCTAGCTATACTGTTGCAGCTTAGTTATTAGTTAAAAATTCAAAAACATAAATATCAGTCTTGTTTTTAGAGTATACCATTCTGTATTTAATATAAAAGGTCATATTAACAACTAGTTTAGTTAATGCTATCACTATTTTTAGTAAGGAGAATTCCTAGTTTTCAACATTGTTGCATTTATTTTATATAGTTCTACAGCTTGTTACTTTTCTTAATTAAGCCTAATAATTGAGAGTCAGTATGTAGTGCTTAGAGCATTGGACTAAGACTTGAAACATCTTGACACCAGTGAACTACTTTGCACCAGCCATATTCTGCCAGTGTAACCTACCTCACAGGGAGGAGAGCAATGAATGTGGTACAACAGATAAGAAGAGAAGTGGCTTGATTAATGGGGACAGTAACATTCCTTCTTTCTCTAAACACTAACTTGTTAGAAAAGATGTTTCCAGTCTTGGAATAAATTCTCTCTCCAAATTAAAAAAAAATCTAAAATGAGCAATACTAGGTCAGATGTTACTATCAGAGGATAAACTAAAATTATTTTTGTTAAAATGTCGCTAGGTGTGTTTAGTTGCTTAGACTTACTTGTTTTGTGTTTTGCTTCTGAAGTTTGATATTTCACTAGCACTTTCTGTTTAGGCAGTGTTTAACTATTGTACATTAGTCAGATTGCATTGATAGTTTTGGTTTGGGAATGCTATTCCAGAAAGTAATAGCTTTGTTTCCATGGGGCTTTGTTGCAATCATTCAAAAAACCCTACAGCATTTCTATATAAATGAGAGAGGGTATGCATGCTGTTTGTTATTTCTAATGACTATGCCCTCCTGGCAGAGATACTGAGGTTCCTCTATTGATGTTTGGCAAATATTGTCAAAATAGCTGACATTTTTCTGTCTCTCTTTGTTTCAGAAGTGACAGTTCCTTTAGATTCTTTGTATTCTTCTTTGTGTACATTTGTCAGTTTGCTGTACATGTACTTCAGGCAGCAGGATTCCAAGGATGGGGCAATTGGTAAGATAACTAGTTTGTTATAGAGCAATAATCATACATGATTAATAGATTAGCATACCACCTTTTCAAAGTTTTAACAATGCATTAAGGAATAATTACTCTTGACTATTTTAGGTTGGGGGGTGAAGGTTAAGCCAAATCACTGTTTTATAAGCAATGCTAAAAACCTCCATAAGTGTTTTACATCAACAGTATATTATCTAGGTACCCTTAGTGGTTTACTTAAATTAAATCACATATCCAAACATCAAGTCCAAAACTTCCCGTATCTTAAATTATATATTTCCCACGGATTTTGATACCACAGCACATGCTGTGAACCATCTAATGAACTTTGCAGTCATAGTTAGGATTAGATCAGGTCACTTTGGTAAACTGTAGATAACTGGGTGTTTAACATTTCTATCTGTGAGACCCTCATTCTGGCATTGCGGTCAATTAATGAGTGGCTTCAGAAGCAGCAAACCGTAGAGAGGTGGGCAACTAAGAATACGTTTTGACTCATCTGCTAATCAGTGCTTAATTAAAGGGGATGTCTGTCATAAGAATAAATAATGCTTGTTAGCCTTGTTACATTGCTATCAGAGATCGCTAACTAGCCTCATATTCTTCACTGGTCACTCATTTCTGGTTGGGCTGTTGGGGACCTTTAAAAGGGTGGGGGAAATAGCATTTAAATTGCTACTTGAAATGGTCACTTTTCTGCCTTGCAGTTTGCCAGTTGCACACATATTTTTAAGCAAAGTG